GAGCAACGTCACCGAAAAAATGAACTCGTCTGGACGTGTTTGGCACGTCTTCGAGGGCGCGTTGCTAACCGCAGATGATTAATCTGTGATCCGAAGTTGGCGGATTCAGATGGTAATTCCGCGGCATTGTCTTCCGGTTGTCTGGCCGCGTGTTACGCGCCTCGAAACTTTCAATAGGCCGCTCGGTCGACTCGCTGGAAACGCGTTAGCGATAACTTAACCGACACGCCGCTGGTTTTTTGTGTCCCTTGTCATGTATTTGGTCGGCAGCGGTCGATTGTTGTCGCGTATTTGCATAATTACGAAGGCGGTCGTTAATATACGGCGGCTGATTTGCATACTTAATTCCGTAATTGGCGCTTCTTAATTGTTTAGTCGACTGCGTAATTCACTCCAGTCGACGTTCGATATTTCGTCGTCGGTTGGATACGAACGACGACCAAAATCTTTCTCTTCGCCATTCCTATCAACGCCTTGCAAATCCCCTACTTTTTACAAACTATACGATAGAAACTTTACTTAAATTTTTATTACCAGTAGAATGTATCAGAGACTGATAAAAGGTGAAACTTTTCATGTCCAAAGATGCCTTCAACATTGGTTCAAATTACAACCTGAAATGTTCGATAATTTGCTGAATTTATTGTTTCACAATATGTCAAATTAAAGTAGCGTTCTGTACAATTTTAGAAATATTAAGGTTCTTCTATTGTAAGTAATATTGCAACGCGTTGTAAGCTCAAAGTGACGGTCACCGGTGACCACCTCTTGAGGAGGTGTTGCTGTCTAGAATGTCACTTTTTTCATTAGAAATACGTACAGTATTTTTCCCCCATTCAGAAATATTAAAAATTGTAAGTTTTGAAGTAAACTTTTAAATCGTATACTTTCCAGTATTTATTACGAACTTATTTGTATGTAGGGTTGTTTAATTAAAATTCCGAGGATTCGAGAGTGAATCAATAATTTAGATAGAAATATTGAAAAATAATGGTGGCTAAAGAAAAATTTGCGTCGCGTCGCGCCGTTTACGGGCGCGTTTCGAACAATTAAAAACGCATTAGCCACGGGGTCGACGGCACCGGGACGACGGAGCGCCGTTGCGGCGGTTTTCACGTCGACGCGGAGAAACGCCAACGAGAAGGGGGAGGGGAGGGGAATCGGCGGGGATATAATTTGATACGTTCGCGATTTGGTCTTATTTTTGAGTAATTTCGAGTCGCTCTGGGCGGCGAGCGAGCACAGCCTTCGCGTAATTACAGGCCGTCTAGCTCGCAGCTCCCTTCGCCTTTTCTCCTGGTTCGTCCTGCACCTCGGGCTCGTCCTTCCTCTCCTGGCAGCCAGGACGAGACCTGGACGGCCGTGGGCGACGTCTAGGAAGCGCCTAGTGATCCGTTAACGACGCGACTTTTGTGAGAAAACATGTGATAGTGAAACGATAGTGGTAGATGAAGAATAGAGAGGATGAACGAAGAGTTAAGGGAGAAATAAAATTGTAGCCAAAGCGTCTGTCGCGACAAGTACCAAAGGAAATGATTAAGGGGCGGGCTGGAAGGGCTGCGCGAAGGAGAGACGAAGAGTTTAGATCGTTCGGAACACAAAGCTTTCAGGACTGCGAAAGTACAGGTTTGGAAACTAGGGGACGATACTAAGATCGTTATCTTGAAATATTTAATGTCACATATTTTTAACTTACAGAGTAAAATGACTTTTGAAGCACAACCATTTGCATAATTGGGGAAAATAAATTTTTACTACCCTGAAACAGCTTCTAATTTTAAAATTGTACCATAACTGTTCCATTCTTTTTGATCTTCAATGTGACCTTTCTTTAAAGAGATATCGATCTCACTTAGGCATCCTATCGATGAAAATTTATATTTTATCTTGACAAGTATAGTTATTATCAATTCTTTTTTCTAGACCGAAACGAAAATTTTTTATTTGCATAAAAATTATATTTTCGTTGAGGGATAATAAACTCAATGCATTTGGAATTTTTTTAGTAGATATAATTTGTGAAACTTTTACGAATAAAAGATACAGAATAGATACAAAAATTTCGATCGTAGAAGGAAATAATGGAGATTAGTGAAACTTGGCGTGTTCTGGCGGTTAGTTCGCTGAATCTGCATAGGTGGAAGAAAGTGAATGAAACGAAACCGATCCAGGAAACACGATCGGTAGGCTGATCAAAGTCTCCCGTTCCCGTTCACGTCTCAATGATCGCCGTTCGCATCGCTATGCAAAGACTCGCGTAAATACTTGAAATGTTAACTGGGTCTTTAGGCTCGCGCACGATACGCGTATCTTGGAGCAGAAGGTCGCCGGCGACCCGCTTTAATGGCCACATCACGTATGCACGCGTAAGCTTCGAGCAAGATGCGTTTCCACGTGCTGGCATTCTTGCATACGACTTGGCTTAGCGGCGTAAGTTACATCCTTGATGGATCGGGCTGCCTTGGCCGCCTGTAAACAATGCTTCGACCACGATTAGACGACGATTCTCGCTTGTCACAGCGTCAAGGAACGATCGTGTCGTTCCTCCGCTTCGTTTCCGTTCTCCGTTTAAATTGCCCGATGATTAACGCCTCCGACCGTCAGACCGAAACCGTGCAATTTGCCGCGAGACCAAAACTCGTATTACACAAACCTCCAAACTGCGCTACTTAAAATTCACCTTCGACTATAGTTTCCACCAAAAAAAACTCGTCAAATTTCCACTACACTCGCAACAGACACGACCAAATGAACGATAATCGATGTCTACCATATCTCCAGGGAGATTTAATTCCGTTTGACGTTAGATCGAACTCGACGATAATTCCCGGTCGAGCGCCTTAAGGTTCCCATACGCGGGTAATCGGTTATGACAAACTTGTCTCGCCCCTCCGAAAGATTATCATACTTAATCAATTATAGCTAAAGACGCTCGCGAGAGTCCCTCGTCGCGCTAAACGCGTTTATTCCAAGCTCGCGTAAAATACGATTCGATAATCTATTAATAATTGCTGTCGTTACGCGATAAAATCTGCCGGGATCATTAGCGTGGTTGTTGCGCGAATAGTAGCGGTTAAAAACGACGCCTTCGCGCAACAATCACGGCGATTCAATAATTAATAAAGCAAGCACTCCAAAGTCTCTGTCGAATTGATTCGGTCGAAGGTCTACTTAATCGCGCGTGCATTTTGCATTATTGGGAAACGTACGTGTTCGCGATTACGGGTCGATGTTACCCGTAGCGGTTCGCCGCGAACTTTTCAGCTTCGTTGTTATTAGTTATAAGAAAATTGCCCCGACGACCATTTCGATAAAATGTTAATATTCCCCGTGCACGGCAGCCGGTGATTTTACGCCATTTTTTAGACCGACGTGCACTTTTCAAGCAGGAAGCACTTTCGCGGGATAACAAACCTCTTTGAGTACTTTTATTTTACCAACTTTTGCCCCCTATGAAGAAATTACTCCAGATTCGAGGCGAACGAAATTTTATTGCAGTCTACACGCAGCGATTTATTTATTCGTAAACCGAGTTTCACACGTATTGTTTGACAAAAGTATCTTCTGTTAATTGAGTAGAATTCTAAGTAAATATTGGTCATTTAAAACTGTCCATCATTCTTACGAAAGAAATTAAAAAAGATTCCACTTGGCAAAGATTTCATTCTTCAAGAACAGCACCTGTTATAGATTAAAATTCTACGTTAAATAATTCTTTAAATTGTCCTTTAAATAAAACTGTCTACCATTTCTACAGAAGCAATTTGAAAAGGTTCTACTTGATGAAGATTTTATTCGTCAAGAGTACCCTTTATTATTCAGTAAAATTCTAGATTAAATACTGGTCCTTTAGGATTGTTTACCATTCCTATAGAGGCAATTAGAAGAGATTCTACTTGGTAAAGATTTTATTCGACATGAGTATCCTCCATTATTGATTAAAATTTTACGTTAATTATTGGTCGTTTATAACTGTTCGCCATTCCTATAGAGGCAATTAGAAACCATTTTACCCGATAAAGATTGTATTCTGCGAGTGTGCCGCCTATTACCGATTAAAATTCCAGGCGAACAGGAGGAAAGCTCTGCCCCGAAAAAGTTTAAATCGTGTTCTACGAATTTATTCGACGGGAGTAGCGCCTATTATCGATTAGAATTCTACGCGGTCGCGATAGGAACACGGGAAAGGACGCAGGGAAATTTCAGATTCGATTCGGATCGCAGCGTTGCTCAGGAGCCGCGCGCGCGGCGGGATCGAACGATTTATCGTGGTCGAGCTTTCCGGGCAAAGTATCCCCGGCCGACTTCCGGCAGACGCAGGTATCGGCCGATCGACACGACTCTTTCGAGGTAGAATACTCAATTACCCGAGCGTACTTCTAGGTAACCACCGGATCGTGCGCCTCGTTTTTTTCCTCGTTTATGCATACCCGGCCTACTCGCGAGCGAATCAGGCTTGCGTGTCGTTATTCACCCTCGTGACGACGCGCGGACAGGATCGACGATGACGCCGTTTAAAAATTAATTAGACCTTAATGAATTATCCGTGAGCATCGCGTTATCGTTTGCCATCTACGGCTGGGAAAAATTGCACGATGGAATTTGATGAACGCGCTGGAAGATCGATGTCCACCTGTTCTCGGTCGTCGTTTGTGCTTTCGACTCGTTGGACGTTTTTTCCCCCCCTGGTCGAGCAGTCGAAATTAATTTGAGAAAAGTGGACGGGACAGGGCTGAGGTCGTTAATTTACGCTTTGGTTGGCCGGGTCGTTTCGAGAGGCAGCTTTTTTGGAAGGTTTCGAGGCACGAAATGGGCGCGAATCTACGCCTATTAGCGCCCCAGGTAGCTTGTAATTAATTTTTAATTGCTGGCTTGATCTGTGAGTAACTTGAAGAAGATTTTTAAAAATTCTTTGGATCGTTCGTCTCGGAGATTACGTTTTGGATTCAAAATGTACGTCGAATTGCGAACGTTTAATGACGGAATCGCTTTTGTTCCAGGCCCCGACATCCCCGGGTTCCTCCTGCAGCCATTTAGGAAACCGAAGAGAATAAGGACAGCTTTCAGCCCCAGCCAATTGCTGAAACTCGAGCACGCGTTTGAGAAAAATCACTACGTGGTGGGCGCTGAGAGGAAGCAGCTGGCGCAGGCGCTCTCGTTGACGGAAACACAGGTACGTTTCACCCTTTGTGATCAAATCGCGACAAGAGAAATTCACGAGTCTCGCATCGAGTCGAATTTCGACCCAGTACTCGACGAATCTCGATCAATCTTCCGACTGATCTTGATCATAGGTAAAAACGTAGTTAAGGAAACTGGAATCTGGATCCCATGAATTTCGATCAGATCAAAAAATAATACGACAAATTTTAAATTAAGTAGTTCATAGTTTCGACCACGTGGCTCCCATTTCGAAAAGTAATTATACCACGAAGTAAACTGGAAAATTAAAAATTATACAATATACATAATTTATAGGATTGTAATCGTCGGAAAGTGGAAGATAAAGAAACATTGTAGGTTGATACTACTAACTAGCAATTTCCCACCCCTAAGATCCGTATCGTCCGTGTGTTCGCCATCGAGTTTCGGCGCCGTCAATGTAATTCACAACGTTCCTTTCGTTCGAATTCGTAAGTTACGTTCCCCTCCATCATTCTCGTGCGATTGAAATTCCATAAATTACGCGCGTTGCACGATTTTTAACATTCGAGCCGTGCCTTAATTGTATATTTACTTCTAATTGGTGACTCGAAATATTTTATACGAAGAAATTTGTAACACTGATTCTTACACGACCATGAATTTTTATTTTATGCAAATGTTCAGTTAGCTTCTCGCGAAAGAATTAATGTGGATGTATAGTATTTTAAATAATATTACTGCTTCTTCTTTGGTTCCCTCTTCCTCTCTCCGTAATTGCGAAATCGTTTCGTACCGTGGAAGGTGAATAAAGTAATTTGGAGGTCGATCGTGTCGTTGATTCAGCGGTACTTTCGTTAAACTATTCCACAAAAGTTGCATCTGTAAAGCGAGAAACATCCGGCCCGCAGGCTCGATTACGACGCGTCTAATTGCCCGACAATTAAAACGGCAATTACACTCAATGACGAGGGTGCGAAGAATCTCAGCCGACGTCAAATTGCATCGTTTAAAAGTACGAACGGTCAATTTATATTTACGAACATAGACGAAACATTTCTACGTACGAAACAAATAATAATCGAACGAAGTTTTTACAAGGTCTGGTGTGTACAATAATTACGATAAGTATTGTACCATCGTCAAGGTGTACGAAGTCGTACGTTAACGTGCTGTGAAATAACTCCTTTTCTAAATACGAGTGACATTCGTTTCCGTTGCACGGTTACTTTCAATTTTATATTTTACAATGTAATTCCCTGTTTGCGCAGTACGAGCGTGTGATAAGGTATCGAATCGACTGGTTAAGTGGTGAAAGCGTGTAATAAGATATCGAAACACCGCCATCGATGTAAGAAAAAAAACTTGACAACATGCTTCTCCCCTTACTGTATGGTCCTCCTCTTCTCCAAACGAGGTTTCTTTCCGTTTCGTTAAATAAGTAAAAGAAAAACGGTCGAATTTCTGTTTCCGCGTGGCAATTGTTACGCCCTGGATCTGGAGGGGGCTGCAGTGTATCCGGTGAGTTTAAAATACAGTCCGGGTCCCATCGGCAGTTTCCGTTGTCCCTCGTCCGGGGAACAGTAGCTTTCGTTCGTCGTTTAATGGCGCGTTCGCGGAGACGAAGGGCCGAATAACGAGGGGATTGATATGCTAATACTCAGGATCTCGAGGGGTGGCGAGGCGGGTTTCGGCGGTGCGCGATACCCCGTCACGTATACACACGCGATGTGCGTGCTGGACGCTCTAGATGCATTACGTGCATATATCACACGCGTCGCGTTACGTATTCCATGGGCGTAACGCGCACCAAAAAAGGGAGAAAGAGTGAAGCAAGCACGAGGAGGGTGGTATTGTGAATTAAGTCGGGAGAATGGAGGAGCCAACCTCGACGCCATCTTGGTGCCGCGATGGAAACAGGCTCTCGCCGTGTCCTCTTCTCTGTTCGTCGCTTCCTTTTCGGCCCACCGTGCCCCCTGGCTCCATCGACACGAAATTTTGACAGTAATTATCGTCTCGAAATTTCACGGATCAATCGGAGACGCCGGAGACAATCGTGTCTTTTCCCAATAAGAGCCTTCGAAGAGTAAATATTTCGATGGTAGCGTTTGCTTCCGTCGAGCGAAAGAAAGGCTCTCCCTCGAAGATTAGAAAACATCATTAGGCTGTTAAAGTTGTGTTCCCAGCGTAATTACCATCGAGCAACTCGAGTGAAACCGCCACTTACATCCCCCGCATGAATAAATGACCCTCTAAATACGGCGCGGACGGTTGCGTGTTGCACGTTTTATAAGGCGGCCCTTAACTCGTACGTTAATTAAACTTATTATGCACGCTTGCAATTTATGCGAGATAAGCAGAGTAAACATTTAAATCAGTTTATTCGCCCGCATTCTACAACGCCCGTGATTACGCCGATGTCGCATGATTTCTGGGCGCGAGAACTTCCCCCGATTCCAATTAAACTACGTCGCGACGTGTTGCGTTTTTGACGCTTCAATTCGACCACGGTTTTTTCCGTGGATTTAATTGAAAACTTTATCGCTGACGGATGTAATATCTTACGAACGTAATCGAGTCGAGTTACGCGGAGCCAAACGCGCTGGAACTTTGTCCATCCTAATTACCATGGGTGTGCTTATTAAATTTTGTTAGCAAAATAAATTATAGATATTTCTTCTTCAGAGAAGAATTTCATATTTCTTTATTTTGATATAAATTAATTTAAATAAATAGGAAAAATAGTGTTAGTAGATGTGGATGTAGAAACAAGTAGTTTTGTCGTTGTAATCTAATTTTATCGCGTCAGGTGTTCGACGTTTTCGCATTGCAGTTCGTCCACGCTCAAGAATGTCAGGTTTTTCCATTATTTCTTGGCAAGAGAAACCGACATAGCAGTCGCTACCAAAGAGGACACTAAAGGCGACTGCCCTGTAACATATTTTTACGTCATTTCTGAACTATTTGATTCGAGATCAATGTTTCCTCGCGGCCTGCTCAATTTTAATACAAAAACTCCCAATGAAATTTGCTAAGGAAATTTTCGTGATTAATATTAATTCATAGAAGTATAAACTACTGCTAATTAATTCTTCATCAGTCAAAGAAAAATTAAATAAAATTCGTGCAAGGCATTTTCCGAAAATGGGTCCAAATTATTACCGTGAAAGAACGAGGTTAACTTGACTATGTATATCTTTCTAGTCCCAGGAGTATTAATTTTAAAGTTACTTGTCTTGAAATCTCCCTTTTTCTCCGAGTATTCGCAACGATTGCAATGAATTTGATCGAAGGAACGTGGACATCGGCGAATAAAGCGCTAATTGTCAGACGGACGTACGACCGTTCGACGCGAAACACGATTTCCCATCGAAGGGCCGGGGAAAAGGAAATAAACGATCGGAAGTGAAGCTAGCGCAGACCACCTGAAAGACTCATCGAAAACCAATTCGTCACAGACAAAGCTGCAGCACCGGTCGTCGATGGCTCGGCCATAAAACACTTCCACGGCTACGGCCTAACGATCCTCTTAATCAAACGCTTCCGCGTCGCGGAATCGCGCGAGCGTATCCGGACGGGTTAAGCGAGCGTGCTCGAGGAATTAGCGTCGCGACGACGCTTATCCGTCGTTAATAAGACGATTTTGGGGCCTCGAATTTCCTCGACAACGAAATTTACTTTCCAAAAAGTCAGAGTAACTCGTATCCTACCCTCCAACAGTATCAGTAACATTTATCCCCTTTTACATCCCCTGTATGAAAGTTTGGTTTCTACAAGATTTAAAATTAACAAATTTTCTAAAATACGAATTTAAATAAAATTAAAAAGATTTAAGAAATTGCTGGTAATTAAATGCTGGGTGAAGGTGGATTTTTTACCCCCCTTAAGAATGACTAGCTGGAGGGTGGAAAGCCATGGAGAAAAGAAATCCATACTTGTATCATCGCATACACCGATTTAAATAAAATTAAATAGATTCGAGAAATTGCTAGTAATTAAACGGTGGATTTTTTTACCACCTTTCCCCCCTCCTAGAGAGTAATTAGTTGGGGGTGGAAAAGTCATGGAGAAAAAAGACCTCAAAAAGTACGCGGCGCGATCGCGATTCGGCGGCTCGACTCGCGCATAATATATTCTCCGGGTAATTGCTGGGCTAATCGCACGTAATCAGGCCCCTAATGAGGGCCACCGGGTCGCGTGTAACGCACGCTCCGCTTTATGAATCTTAACAAGCGCGAGAACAAGACGCCTCGTGGTTGTGCGCGTTTGTTCGGCCGCGCTCGTCTGTTTGTCGTGGGGAACGGGGAAAGGCAAGATGCAACCGCTAATTACGAGGCCTCCGCGAACGTTGATTGGCTTCTGGAGAGACGACGGGCCTCGTGATTGATATCGTTTAATCGTCGATCCTCCGCTCCCGGATGAGTTCGCTACGAACAGGTGCGTTTTGTCTTGCGCAAACGGTTCCATTGTTCCTTTTCCTTCCTATTCCTCCGCTTCGATGTTTCGATCAGGTAATTTAATTATCGGTGCAAGCAGCATGCGCTAATTGGGCTCCTTCGACTCTCGACACTCTATTTCTTTCATCAAACTGTGATACACAAACGTCTGAATGAATAGTAAACATGAGCACACATCGAGGAATCAGATATGTTTACAGTATCTTTTTATTTTTCGAAAATCTGTTTACCCGCGCAAGAAAGTTTTCTGGACGGTTTTCGATAGATTTCTGCGTATTCTGCCCAGCAGCGGTGAGCGATAATCGATCAGGAACCGATTTCTACGTCGAAAGAACGGGAAGAAGGTGTATAATTGTGTCGTTTGGTTTTTACGGGCTAGGCGAGCCTGGTTCCGGCTCGTCCAATTATCCTCGGTTAGTTGTTTCGTTTTTTACGCGCGTTGGAAAAATTTAAAGCGAAGTATCTCTTCCCCTTTTTGTTATCGGCCGCGGCGCAATTGCACCGGGCAAGAAAGAGACTAATTGTTCGGTCGGGCGAGAGTCGCGCATGCGGAAAAGGTTCGTCCGAGGGACCC